GTGTGTGAGTGCGTGTGTGTGTGTGTGAGTGAGTGAGTGTGTGTGTGTGTTGACAGACTGACGGCGGGCGCTGAGAACACACTGTTCCATTATGTGCTGATGGAGACGGTGCAGGGCATCTTCATCGCTCCCACACACAGAGAAATGAATCATCTGAGCGGCTCCATCCACCCTCAGCTCATCCAGAACTTCTACCACTGCTGTCTGTCCATACGCCAGGCCTTCCAGCAGAGCCTGCCCTCACGGGTAACACACCTCAAACACTGACACCATCTGCAGCAGATCAGCGTATTAGAAGGATTTCTGAAGGGTCATGTGACACTGAAGACTGGAGTAATGATGCTGAAAATTCAGCTTTGATAACAGAAATAAATTACAGTTTACAATATTTTCACATAGAAAACTGCTATTTTAAATTGTAATAATATTTCACAATTGTACAGTTTTTACTGTATTTTTTATCAAATAATTAGTCTAGGTGAGCATAAGAGACAAAAAATTGAACAGTGGTGCATTTCATTCTATAAATAATTTAAAATGAGTATATTTTTTTTTTTGTCATTTAAATTGTAAAATTTGCATTTAAAATTTATTTTTAAAATTTAACTTCATTTTGAATACTTAATTTAAATTAGAAGTGTCATTTTAACAGAAAACATTTAATAACATTTTTATTTTTAAATTAACATTTAATAACATTTTTATTTTTTAATTAATAAATTGATCATTTTTACAGTATTTACATAATTTTTATCGGTTTAGACTTATTTCATTTAGTTCATTTGTAGTTTTTCATTCAAGTTTTTCATTTTAGGTCAGCTTTATTACAATTACTGAAAATAATTTCTAGTAGTTGTTATCTGTTCCTGTGTATTTCAACCAATCTATTAAACAGTGTCAAAACATTTAATTAATTAATAAGTTCAATCATGACAAGTCTCAGAACATTTTAACATGGTGATGGATATGACAATGTTAATGTATTTGGTCTTGGCGGAACAGATCTGCTACGCTGCTGCTGAATTGCTGCTGCTGTTGGTTATTGCTGTAGTTGTAGATTATTGCTGCTGCTACAAGCAAGTACAGGAACTTGCTACTGCCAATGCATATGGCGTAGTTGTAGATTATTGCTGCTGCTGCAAGCAAGTACAGGAACTTGCTACTGCCAATGCATACGGCGATACGGTGCTGTGAGTATTTAAGACATACTGCTGCTGCACAAATAGCATACAAAATAACCCGTAGCAGATCTATACAGGTGGAGCTAGGGATGGTGGCGGGTTTCAGAGAATCTCAAGAATCTCAAGTGAATGAATATAAATGCAAGGCAGTAAGCTCATTGGCTGCATATGCAGCATGAACCAATCAGCTTGTGCCAAGTCGTTTAACTCTCTAAATATCATCAGTTACGTTAACAACCCGTCAGCCTGCGCCATCTAGAGTTTCATGACTGAAATATATATTTAATATGGTTCTAACAGCATAGCTTACGTGGAATGGTACACATAAATCGAATTTCATGTAACTGCACCTCAACAAACACTAATTAAAAGCTGGATAATCGTTCGTATGTAACTTTATAATTTTTTGCATGGCATGAACCTCAAAAGTTATTAAACATGCAACTGTAACAGTAAGCAACGGAATAAACAATAATAGTCTTTTAATTTCAACTTCTAATATAAAGGACAGGAAAATCACCAGAAGAACATACAAACACATAAACTCAACTCAATCCAGGACGCAGACTAGATAGAAACTGAGGGCATTTATACACAGGAAAACAAATGAGCAAACAAGATGATTAACAAGGTAATTGATTATTTACAGGTGAACAGAATGACATAATTAAGGAAATCTAGGTCAAGCGAAACACAGAAAACAACTGACATGTAATGTCGAGTTCACACTGCACAATTTTCGATGTCGTCAGATGACCGTTGCTTTCACACTGCTTGACTATCTGGGGTAGCATTAACCGCAACAGCTTGTTCAGTTATATTTTCTGTACAGGGTACAAATGCAGATGGCTGCGCATTTATTTGTGCTATCACAGGATATGTCTATATTTGAATAATGTACTTTTTTTGTAATAATGTTAGCCTGACCAGCTAAAGAAGTGGCCATAAACTCGTTAGTAAGCAAGAAAAATGAACCCTAAAGAGGAACATTTTGCTAAATATATGCACCATAGAACGTATTCATAATCTTCAATATTTAATTTATGTTTAAATAAATCCAAGTTTTTTTTTTATGACAGCCACTTTTTACATTTTTATATTTCAAAAAAACGAATTGGAGTAGAAATAGAGTTATGCAATTGTAAAGTTATTATCATAACTTTATTATTATTAAAACTTCACTGAGTGTAATTTAAGTGTTTGTATACAAACCAGGCATGTATATTGTACATTATTCGTTGAAATTATTTTTCTTTGAGAAAATGTGCAATTTACTGTACCTGATATATATCCAAAATAATTGATATTGAATTGAAATTGAATCAAATTGCAAGCTTGCGAATCAAACTGTGCAATTTGTGTCAAAACCCAGCCCTACTTAATATGGTGTGGTATCCATGTGAATAATGATTCTTTAACATAATCAGATTTACTTCAGCTGTTCTTTATTTCAGTCTTTTTACAAAAATAAGGCTGCGCTCTTAAGTCTGGGTAGTTTACTTGTTAAAACATGTTTTCTTAAACAGGTTATAAAACATTTTTATATTCAGATTCAATGCAATAATGTTTTTACAGAATCATTTACAGAGAAATATATTCAATTCAAAGTGGTTTTATTAACTATTTACACATTCATTTTCACGATTCATGAATTTCTTTGTAAATAATTTGCAATTCTTAATTCTTAGTTGAATAAAAAAAAAATGGATAACACTTTATAGTAAGTTAAATTTGTTAATGCATTATGCAGTATGCATTAACTAATGTTAATAAATTGAACCTTCCTATAAAGTGTTACTTTCATAAATTTGGTTTAGAATGACGCTTTATGTGGCTTCAAATGCATAAAATAAACCAGATTTACATGAGGTGTTCTTTATTTCAGACTTCTCACAAAAATAAAACTGTGCTTTTAAATTTTAATGATAGTGAGCTTCATTCATTAAACACAAGCAGAATGAATTTGTTATTAGTAACATTTTTACACACAAATTCAATGCAACAACTTTCAGTTTTTTACAGAATGATTTATAGATATATTTGCCATTATGTTGTTACTCTCAGTTCAAAGTAATTTTTTGCACAGAAATGTATTCTCATGATTCTTCATGATGATCATTTGTAATTAACTGTCACATTGAATTGAATTTGGGCAACACTTTACAATAAGTTCAATTTGTTAACATTAGATATCATAAACTAACAATGAAAATACTATAAAGCATTTATTAATTTATATGCATATACATACACACACACAAATATATATATGGGCGTGTGCATATATAGATGTATACATTCGTACATATGTGTGTGTGTATAATATTTATTAATACATTTACATTAAGTTAGATTACTGCTTGTGTTTCATGAATTGCACTTTGAATGCACAAAATAAACTTCAGCATGATTTTACACCGATTAATCAAAGAATTTTGTGTCTGTTGTTCAACATAATTGCATGGACCTACTATTTTTAAACACACGCCACTGACAGACGGTGCTTTAAGCGACTTCCTGCACTAGCGTCAGGTTCTTCCTGTAGCACTCCAGACTGCACAGCGGCGTCCCGGTCCTGGAGCAGGAGTATTTCTTCAGGTTGGAGCATCCGGACACGCCGCAGCTCAGGGGCGTGGGGGGAGGCTCTGGCGGGGCAGCAGGCGTCGGGACGGGGATCCCGGCGGGGTACGAGACGGTGGTGCCCTGAGCGTTACTGCTGTACCTCACCATGGGCAGCTGCGCCTGCTTGGACCTGCGCTCCTTCATGCTCTTGATCTTGGCCTTGCTGGTCTTGGTCAGTCTCTCGATGGTCTGGTTCTTGTTATCCTCGGCTTTCTTGGCAGCCTGCAGGCGTCTTTTGCGGGCGCGCTCCTCGCGCTTCTGCATCATCTCTGCCGTCAGCTCCTTCTCCTTGTATCCCATGGGCAGCTCCAGTAACGGCTGGCTCTGCTGCTTATGTAGGAGCGCTTTCTGTTCAGACCGAGAAGAAACTTTGTTAAGGTACCTTTAATGCTTCAATTAAAGTCACCAATCAACTATTCATTTTCAACTCATCACATCATATTTTGTGTGATAACACATACAGTACTCAGGGCTTAAAGTTCTCCGGCACCGTGCCGGATCTCCGGCATGCGGCGTTTGGCTGCGGGGGAACGCATTAGCTGATGAATGGAAAAGAAGCCTGGGTCTCGGGCCCGACACATTGAAAAAGCTGCGAGGCGCAATGGTCAAAGATTTCCATCTAGCGTCA